GCAGAAGCTACTGACCATAAGGCTCCATTCGTAAACAGTCACATACGTCTTTTTGCCTCTGAGAAAAGCACCAAAACTTAATCCCCAGCATCTGCCACAAAAAGGCTGCCCAGACTCTCAGGTAGCGATGGAGTACGGGATGCAGTTGCCTACTTTCTCTCCTTTGGGAAATCTCACTAAACGGACCAGCAGATGGAAACCCATGGGAGAAAATGGGAGAAGCCAGGATTTCCACCCCAGCTCTCCCCAAAGGCTCAGGAAGTGGCAGGAAGTGAATGTGGGAGTAGAGGGAGAAGGCAAAATAGCCACTCCCTCCAAGTGAGTGAGAAGGGTAAGGTCTTCAGACCCATGTACAAACCACACAGTGGGAGAGAGATGATGGCTAAAAGCCTCAGAGTGTGACTGTACCATGTGAGCCAGACTCACGCACCCTCAGCCGGTCCCACTTCACAGAGACCAGCCCCATTAGTAGATGCTGTGAGAGTACCACGAAGAACGGTTAAGACTTTAAGACCTCTGGCTACCTTCCCGTTTGCTCTCGAAGCAAGCAGGAAAGCTATCCACTGCCTCTCTGAGTGCAGATCTGTCCAGAATGTCTGTGAGCAGTCAAATACTACAGAGAAATAAAGGGCCAGGCTGCACAGACCTGGAAACACTGCTCTGCACTACACTGCCCTGTGTAACGACTTCAGAAGAGTTTTTCTATATTTGAAACAACTTAAACTACAGAGGGTTACCTACTTGGACAAGACCATCATAAAACCATCTGGAAGGGGGTCACAGAAGTACACGCCTGTAATCTCAGCTACTGGAGAGGCTGAAAGCAGGAGGAATGCAAGTTCGAGGCCAGTCAGACAACTCAGTGAAGCCCGTCTCAAAATAAAACTTTTCAAAAGGCTGGGAGCTGGGCACAGCGGAGTGCACATCTGTAATCCAAGCTACTCAGGCAAGTTAGTGCCAGCACTTAGACCAGGACGAGCAGGTGTGCTATGACCGCCAATTCTGCTCTCCAACAATTTTTTTCTAAAGACAGACTCTTGCTGAATGCAGAGATGCATGTCTGTAATCCCAGCTTGGGAAGACTGAGGCAGGAGGATCACAAGTTCAAAGCCAGCCGAGGTAACTTAGCAAGACCCTGTCTCAGAAATAAACCTTAAAAGGAAGAAGACTGGGGATATAGTGGGGTGGTAGAGGACCTGCCCAGCATGTGTGAGGCCCTAGGTCCAATCTCCAGTACCTGTGTGCACATGCAGGCACACATGCAAGGAAAATAAATATTCTTGCATGTGTATAAGAATATATGTACCAAATATCTATAGAAACATAATTTGTTGGACAGTCTGATAAATGGTGGAAAGATTAAACACCCATCAACTCAAGAATGAAAAATGAGTTACAGGAATTTAGCAGCTATTAAGGGAGACTGTGCGTCATGGTTTGTAACCAGACGTTCCCGCAAAGCCTCACACACTTACACATGGGGGTCCTGGGGAGATGGGTTATGGGGCTTACAGCTGACTGCTGTGGGAGGAGGCAGGGGCCCTGGGGGTGCGGCCTGGAGAGATCTATCTCCCTTCTGCTCTTCCTGGGTGCCAGGATGGGAGCCACATCCCCCATGCAGGCCCTCCAACCACGCCGCCGTGCCCTGGAGCCACTGACTATAGACGGAAACCTCCACCAACTGTGACCCAAATGAAACCTCTCTGCCTTCGAGTTGTGGGTGTCAAGTATTTTGTCTCAGTGATGAGGTAAATGTCTAAGACAACTTTTTTTTTAATCTTGCCCCCTCCTTGGTACAGGGAGTGAACTCAGGGCCTCACACTTGAGCTACATTCCCACCTCTTTTAATTTTGAGATGAGGACTCACTAAATTGCTAAGTTGTACAAGCTGGACTCAAACCTGCCATCCTCCTGTCTCAGGCTTCAAGAGTGCTGAGATTACTTGTGTGCCATCACTACACCTGGCCACATTATGGTGTCTTGAATATACCGAGAGATAGAAAGCTCTGGTCATCTTGTTAACACCGCCTTTGGAAAGCTCATCCATTAACTCATAAAAGCTGTATAAGATAAAGACATTAATGGAAAAGCAAGAAGGATTTCGTGTAAACAAGGCATGGTGTGGGCCGCTGACCACTCCCTTGTACCAGTGCAGGCAGGCACCCTCCGGCTGGCTGCTCCTGTTATGCAGACAGGACAGGCAGGGCTTCTGAGAAGCTAGCCAGCCTGTGTTCATACTTATTGTGTGCCTGAAAGATCTCGAGTGACCCAGCCTGCCGGGAGGCCGCTGTGTCTTCCGTCTTACACCTTCTGTTCAACTAGCCCCACCCACACCACAGCTCGGTACTGCAGGAAGCTGAGGCAGAGGAGGGGCAGCGGTGAGATCCCAGCCCCCCAGCTCCCTCCTGACCTGGGGACCAGAAGTGCCACCACGGACTGTGGAGCCAGGAAGCCCAGGCCTACTAACTTTCCCCTCTTTATTCCAAAAGCTTAGCAAGCCAATTCCAGATGAAGCCTTCAAAGGAATCAGAATCTCTTTCCTCCCCGACGCTGAGAGTTCCTCCCTCATGAAGAACTGTTTTCAAACATTAAATTAAATTCAGTGCTGGATTAAATGCAACACGGTTTTGTTTTAAGCACCTAGAAAAGGCATCAGTGGTCTACTCTGCCCTAAGAGTTTGAGCCAAAAACCTATCAATGCACAGGGCATTGTGTCGGTAGGTAGCGCATGCACTGGGAGGGCAGGCAGGAGGATCTTCAAGGCCAGCTTGGGCTACATAGTGAGACCCCGTTTCAAAAAAAAAAAAAAAAAAAAAATAACCACTATCAGTGCAACAGAGCAAGGTCATTTCCACTAACAGTGCCGAATCTAATGGATATCCATATGCAAATACCAACTCAAAATGGAATGCAGCCTGAAGCGCAGAATTATCTAGAAGATGACATAGGAAAAATATTTGTCATCTTAACCATTAATAAAAGATAAACTTCAAAATTAAGAACTGCTCAAAAGACACTGCAAAAGCCTGGCCTGGTGGTCATACCTATAATTTCCGCACTCTAGGCAGAAAGATTGCAAGTTTGAGCCCAGCCTAGGTACCTTAGTGATTTAGCGAGACCTTGGGCCCAATCCCCAGTACCACCGGGGGTGGGGGAGGACATTGTAAAGACAAAGTCACAGACTGGGAGGAAAACACATCTGATAAGAAACTTTATCCAAAATATATTTTTAAAAAAACCTCACAGCGCAATTACAAGAAAAGAAACAACCTATTTTTTAAAATGAGGAGAAGATCTAAACAGCTCCTTAACGGTAAATAATCACATAAACAGATGCTCAACTAGACAAACGCAAATCAAGATCATAAGAAGCATCACTACATACCAGTCAGAATGGCTAACGATTTTCGGAAAATAACAATACTAACAGTATTAGTTACCTCTGCCCACTTCACAAGCGCAAGATCCCAAATTCAATCCCTGGTACCCCCCACAAACAATAGTATTAGGGAGGCTACAGATCAGTGGGTACTCCCGAACACCACTGATGTTGAGGCAGAATGGTGCCACTGCTCTGGAACACGGCTTGGAGGTCCCTCTACAGCTACAGACATTTTCTATTCCACGCACTCCTGCGTACTTACACAAGTGAAAACTTACATTCATACAAACATCTTTTCGCAAATGTTTACAGTAGTTTTATTTGTAACTATCTAAAATCTGTAAGTGAACCAAATGTCCCCCAGCCAGGGGATGGATAAACTGGCATGCCTCAGTTTACACAACTGAGAATAACCACAGAATATAACTCAGCAAGGAAAAAGGACACCTCACCAGTCTGTGGGGTACACTGAATGGCTCCATCTGTGTGACTTTCGGGAAAAGGCAAAATCACTGGAACAAACATCAGAGCTGTGGCTGCCAAGGTCAAAGGAGTGGAGGGGGCTGACTATAAGAAGACATGGGACAGCTCCTCAGTTTGATCAAAATGCTCTGTATTTGGATACTGTGGTGAGAGTTACACAGCTGTCAGAACTCACAGAACTACAGAAGAATGGATGACTTTTGGTGGGGAGGGGGTACTGGGGATCAAACTTGGGACCTTGCACTTGTGAGGCAGGCAGCAGAACCACTGAGCTAAATCCCTGGCCCAATGACTTTTATATTTTAAAGCTAAGAAATGGGAACCATAAAGAACAAAGTAAAAGGGATCCACTACAAAAATGCCCACATTTCTACGTGCCAAGAGATAACCTTTCAACAGGGCCGTTAGAACCAGGTCTACGATGTCAGCCATGCCTGCACATCCTGCCAGCCACCCGGGACCCTCTACCAGGTCTGGCAAAAGACATTCCAAAGGAAACCATCTCGCCCCACTCTTACCAGAACCACTGATGGTCCTCGGATATAAAGAAGCGCGAAGGACCTAGTGCCTGCAGGTGACAGGTGCTGGGAAAAGCCGCGGGGCACCCCCTGCCTGCAGTGAGACCTGAACTGCCTTCCACAAGACGCTGCTTGCCCACCGGGACAACACTGAGACTGACAGCGGCTGGCGCCTGTCAGGCCTGTGGCACCCGGCCTCACAGGCAGTGAAAGTAGGCCAAGGGGACAGAGACACAGAGTGCGCTTGATGTCAGGTAGTGGGCAGTCATGGCCCCTCCCTGGGACGGTCTCACCAAGCTCAGGGCTCCAAAGCAGCCTGTGCTGTCTACCTGACCCCGAGGGATGGACCTGTTGGGCCTGTTTTCCACATGGCATCCACTCGGGGCTTGGGACTGGACACTCACTCCCATGCAGCGGCCCCTCCACCGTAGCTGCTACCCAGGCTGACCGAAGCTCCTTGCTGTGCGTGGGGCAGCCACTACCACGCAGGGCAGAGTCAAGTACGGGAAATGACAGCAGGATGCGGCCGACACACAGACTGCCAGACCCAGCACCACAGACTAAGACCCCGCCCAAGCGGCCTCTGCTGCGGGGGTGGGAGCGTGTTCCATTCTTACCTTTTGTTTTTCCTTCCACCAACACCAGTTTCTTCGTCTCCGCTGTTAAGAGCAGCTCATAAGGGTGTTCGTCCTCTTCCCGGGCTGTACTCCCTGCAGCCCTGGGTCGCATGGCCAGGACCTGAGAGAGAGAGAGAGAGAGAGAGACTGAGAGAGAGAGAGACTCAGTGCTGCTGTGCATGTGACTGTGACCTAGACAGGAACTACCGGACGCATATACTGAGGGCCACAAAGGACAGGAGGAGGAGGTGAATAATTCAAGGCTCACACGGAATCACAACTGCCTCCTGCTTCTACACCTGCTAGGAATTGCTAGGTGCCTGGTCCCCAGCCGGAAGAGACTACGAGCGGCGGAATTTAGGAGGTGGGCATAGGAGGTGGGTAGTCAGGCCCCACCGGCCCCACGCCTGACCCACCCACCCGTGGTGGATGCACGCTCTCTTGGAGGTCCGGCTCTCCTGGCCCTGGACTAGGTCCAGGACACTCTGTGACACAGCGGGGCTGGACCTCTCCACTTCCACAGTGCACCTGCTACACGACACACCTGCCAGGCTGAGATGCAGCCAGGAGGCCCCGCCAGCAGCTGAACGGGTGGGGCTGCCTGACCTTGGGCTTTCTGCCTCCAAATCTGTGAGCCAAGTAAACCTCTTTTCTTTAGCAAGTACCTAGTGTCAGGCATTCTGTCATAACAATAAAACACAGACTAAGGCAGCATCTGGACCGCAAATCCCAACGGTCTTTGGAATATTCTCCTTTCTCATTTTCTTTCAAAAGGTGGTCAGCAGAGGCCAAGACCCATCCTTCCCTTGCCTTTTCATCTCCACAGTCACCTGCACAATCTCTTTTCTGTGGATAATATTTCCCAAGTAGCTTTTAGCCACATTGCACCCTGCTGTACTTTCATCTTCTCTTCCCCAGTGTACATACATCATCTTCCACCAAGATGACTTCTGACTGACCCTGAACACTTGGGTTTACTAGTGAGAAATGGCTCGCAGTCTGGGTCTGTGAGCCTTTCTTCACAGATCCTTGGCCCGGAGAAGAGGGTCTCCCTAACGGTGGCTTCCTGACACACGTACGCATCTTACCAGACTCCCCCATCTCTGCCCAGCAGAGGCAAGAGGTCAGGAGCCTGGATTTCCACGAGGGGGGGAGGTCCTGTCTATAAGCAGCCTCGAGTCAGGGGCTGAGTGTCCCCGGGGAAGAACCAGACCAAGGTGCTCCCGCACCTGCCGGCCGTGCAGCTACTCACGACACCACAGGAGCCAAGTTTCCCCTGACACCAAGCCAGGAAATCACACTGGCACTATAGCCACCATAGGAGAGAGAACGGAGAGCCTTGCTTTGGAGGACAGTCCTGCTCATTTGTGCTGTGACGCCAGTGTGTTCCACAGGCCAAGCACAGAATCTCTTCTTGAGCAGTGTGGCTAGGGCAGGTCATGAATTATGAACCAAGCGGGGCGGGGAGTCCCAACTGCATCTAACAGACAATGGTACCCTGCAGACAGTGTGACCCTTTAGCACACAGACACCTCCTACATGGACACATCCCACATGCGCTGCACTGGGAATGTGTCCAGTTTGTGATTTATCAAGGTTTTGCTACCCCAAGGCATAGCCTGCTGCGTCACGGCCTAATGAGATGGCAAGAGCTCCTGGTAGCAGCAGACTAAACGCGAAGCTGCAGCTCCTTGTTTGTTAACAAGGCCGCCACTCTCAAGGCAGAATGACAGCCGCTTTCCAAAGTTCTGCTGAGCACAGCAGGAAGCTCCACTTATTGCAAGCCACCTGGAAGCTAAAAGCCATTTCATTACAGCAGAGCCAGCAGCATGTATAACTTACTCCTGGCCTCTTCACAGGAACACAATCAAGGGAACAAAGAGAGCCCATTAAGCAGTTCACACTGTGTCAACTTAATACCCAGGCTTTACAGACGGGACTGTGTGTTCTGCAGGTTTACACACCCACCCCATCGCTTGGGCAGCGCGGGAAACCCAACTCCTGGGGTTCCCACACAGCAAAGGCTCTCGCAGGGTGTCAGGATGGCCTACAACACCCTCCCTTCCCAAGCAGCGCAGGACAGGATCCCGGACTTCCACTGGAGACAAAGCCCACTGGACCTGCTTTTGCTTCATGCCTGGTTTGGGTGCAGGACAACTAGAAGCAGGAAAACCATCCAATGTCAAAGCCGGAAGGGTCCCTAAGCGACAGTCACAGCAGGGCACTTGGTTCTAGACCTTTCTTTTGAGATGACAGATCTGGTCCAAGAGAGGACCAGGATTTGTGCAGGGTTACGCTGAGAGCTCACAGCACAGCTGTGGCCGTAGAATTCAGCTCCCTGATTCTGGACCAGATTGACCTTGCTTTTTTTTGGCTTTCATTTTTTTCTCTATCCAGTTTGGAACTCCTTCCTGCCTTCAACTGTCTAATGAGAATCCCTGCTCATGCACAGACAATAAAGGAGGGTGTCTTGTCCTCCCAGTACAGGGCCCTACCATCTACGGGATTAAAATCTCACCATAAAGCAATAAACTGCTCTTTGGCAAGCCATCAGCTCCCTCTCAAGCAGCCCTGTGTCACAGCGAGCATGGCAATAACCAATTCTCAACAGAAAGAACTCTGCTTTTTACAAAATTACTTGGTAATCTTTTTTCTTTCTCTTTCTTCTAAGGCTGGCAATAAATCAAAGCTGAAAAAAATTCTACTATATGGAAAGCACCACTGCAGAGAATAGCCACGAGCAGCAGCCACAAGCAGCCACCACGAACTGTGGCCAATGGAACGTGCAGTCAGGGTGTGGGCGGCTTCCAGAAAAGAGAGCACAGCAGCTGCAAGCCCCACCAAGCCCAGCAAGCTGTGCTCAGAGAAGACCACAGTCTGTCTCCAGGCAGCTGCAGCGCCTTCTGTGGGGCAAAAGCATCTCAACAGCATGTGCGTGCGTGCGTGCGTGCGTGTGTGTGTGTATGTGCGCTCACGCGCATGCGCGTGTGCACCAGTTTCAGGATCAGGCCATAACCCGTAAGGTCTCCTGGAGCCAGGGGTGCTCCAGCTTCCCTTAAAAGCTTCTGTGGGTCATCTTATAATGATAAATATCAGGGACAGGGACCCAGTCACTGGGGCAGATGCCTGCCCAATACAAACCCTAAAGTTTGATGATGTCAGCGTCTCCTGAGATAAGAGGTTTAGGATTTTAAAGCTTTGTGAGTATAAGGAAGAAAGATGGTGCCAGGCGTGCTAGTGCACACTTATAATCCCAGGAGGACGGCAAGTCTGGGCCCAGCCTGGGGAAGCTTAGAGACCCAGTGAGACCCTAAGGGCTGAGGGTGTAGCTCAATGCAAGAACCTGGAATTTAATCTTTAGGAAAGAATAAAAGAATGAAATAATAACAAGAGAAAGAGGAAGGAAAGGGAAAGGAAGGAAGATGAAAGACTGCAGCATTGGTAATAAACAGCCCACTTCGGAGATGAGCTGTCCATCGGGACTGTGGCATACGCACAACATCGGCTGGGGTCGTCACTGAAGGGAGGACGTCAGCCACAGGTTCACAGACCTGCGCTGACCAGCAAAAGAAATTCAGTGTTCTCGCGGTCTTCCAAAGAGCGACTGTGTTGGTGCAACTCATGTGTTCCAGAAGGTGAGTCTCTACTCCCCGCTACACAGGAGGAGAGCCAGACTCCTCCACCACGTTCCCACTGCACA